ATGTGTGTGTGTGTGTGTGTGTGTGTGTGTGTGTGCTGTCTCTTATACACATCTAGATGTGTATAAGAGACAGGAGAGAGAGAGAGGAGGGGGGGGGAGGGAGGGAGGAGAGCTGTTAATGGAAGTTGATGTTTTCATGTCTTGTCATACTATCATGTCCAGAAAAATAGGGACACACAGAGGAGCTGAGACACCGAGAGAGGCCCACAACATCGTGTGCCTGGTCCCTCTTCGATCTCTGTTCCCCTTCTTCCTGTGCTCCCCTGATTCTGCCTCCGCTCCTCTCTTATCGTCTTCACTTGACATTCCTCCCCATTATCGTGAGCGGTTGGAGTTTGGGATTGCCTGAAAGTGCGAACACAGGGGGCGACGAAGGGCCATCCTCTTCACTGCCCCTGCTCCTCTTAGGAACTTCATCATCACCTTGCTTACCTCTTTGTCCTCCCTGTTTTGTTTGCCTCTTCGCCTTTGTAATCCGCTTCATCCGACCTCCACCTGCTTTAGCTCTCCCTCATCTTCCAAATGATAATCATCACCACCGTCGGCATCGAGAGCAAGGTCCACCGCCTCGGCAACCTTCTGCCCTCTCCTTCTCATCGCCATCCCTCTTCTGATCACTGTCCCCCTCCATCGTCCTTATCTCTGTGTTTCCCTCCCACTTTCTGATCGCCACATCCCCTTCGTCATCCATTCTCCACTTGTTGATGTACTGTGCCTCCCATTTCTCCAGTTGCTGATTTCTATGATTGTGTTTCCCTTTCTCTCTCTGTCTGTTTTATTTTTTGTGCTTGGTTCATGCAATGCTCAGTCGGTACCGTCTTCACCCGAGTACAACGTACGGTCATTACACCTATATTTAGACTTAAAGATACCCCAAATACAGCAATAATGACCGTACGTTGTACTCGGGTGAAGACGGTAGTTATATGTGAAAATGATGTCGAAGAGAGAAGGTATGTGCAACCAACTCCCCAAGAGAAATCTAATTGACTGCCAAACCGGAAATGCATACAAGGTGTATATTCGTCCAGATTTAACGATTTACGTACCGGAAGGAAGGCATTGATATCAAGCCCCATCGGGCCGTTTCGCACCACATCGAAGCCCCGTGTAAAGTGTACAGACTGGCTGAGAGTCCTCTCCCGCTCCCTTGCAAAATTAATCGAAAACGCATCGTTCATGTATGCAGAACCGTCAACATGACCTGTATTTGTCAGAAAAAAAAAAACATTCACCGAAAATCCACAACAAAGGAAAACATACGTAAGGCATCTCTCCTGGTGTGTAACTAGGGTTGGGAGGGCGGGGACGAAGACACGATCACAGCAGGAAAGTTTGACTTTGAACTTTGACTCATCCAGAGGAACTTTGAACTTTGAACTTTGACAAGAGCACAGCAGGAAAGTTTGACTTTGAACTTCGACTCATCCAAAGGAAGTTTGACTTTG